GTTAGAGAGAGAGAAAATAGAGTGGTTATAGAAGAAGGGGAGTGTAGCTGGTTGAGCAGAGTGTACTCGCAGGAGCTGAGCTGTTGAGAAAGAGTGAGTGAGTGAGAGAGAAGGAATCGTATTTAGGAAAAGCATGCATGCAGTATTTAATTATTAATGAGCACAGCAGCGGCGGATGAAAAATTAGATTCTTTCAAAGTGCTTGGCTGAGTCTTATTTATTAATATTTATTTATTTATTTATCACCTCCCCCACAAACAGATCACCTCGCACTGCACTCTCTCCCTCACCCACTCACCCACCCCATTGACATTGACTAATATAGGTAATGATGATCCCATCTCTTAAATAGCTCATACTGTCTGTGCATAACTGTATGTATATCACTCTTCTTATTCATCATAGTGGTATCTCTCATAAATATATATATGGAGTACTTGATGGTTATAACATAAAAGTCTTTGGTCGCTGCGGGCATACACTCACCTTGCTCACCCTCATCCTTACTACCACTCACCCCCACACACCACTGCACACACACTGCACACACACCACATTAAAAATGATGCTTTGACACGCCGTTCCTTGTTTTCCAAGCAGCAAGAGTGTTTGTTCTATTTCAGAGACAAGTGGGTCTGGAACAAATTGAATTGTTTATAAATATCGGGGATTGAATTTAATAAGGATGTGTAACCAAGTAAATCATACTATTGGATCATCCAATAGAATCAGCTTGTTCTATTCACCATGAAAGTCAAAGTTTCCTTATTAGGAGCCCTCATCGATTGGAGATCCATTCATCACATCATATTCATCTGTCATCATCATCAATTAATAAATAAAATATATTTGGTGGCAAAGTATATATTTCAAGTAAATGTGAAAGCGAAAAGCAAACAGATCACCATCAAATGTATGTAATAAATAATAAATATTATATTTTGTTTAAATACAGATTTATTATTAAATAAACATGGATAGGGACATATCTATGATTTAATTAATTACCTTTGGAGCAGTATGTATGTAGGTATGTATGTAGCAGTGCATCTCATCAGTTGTTTGTGTATAAACACACTTGAGCATCAACTATGATTACATATATTACAAAGAAAACACAACCATCAAAACATACATAGAGAAAGAGAAGAAGAATCAACTATATAATAATAATAAATAAAAGAAATCTAAATAAATATATACTATGTATCATATTAGTATATATTTATGACGGGAACTAACTGCAGGGCTCACTATAAAAAAGTATAAGCAAAAGAAACAGAAACAAACAACGTGATGACAAACAAGCCCTCAGACACGTTGGTGTTACAACCTGCCCCAATTAAGGAAATGTTGAAATAATACATTTTTCATCTCTTTCTTTAATCTTTCCCCATCCATCCATCCATCCATCCATCTTACAAACCCCATCACATAGACGAACCTCATCTCGTGCACCCCACCATTCATCATGAACCTCATTCGCATCGTTGCATCACTCTCTGTCCTGGCAGCATGCTTGTTGCAACGAGCTGTTGCCGTCGACACTGACATTACTGTGGGTTGGTACACTCTGGACCCAAACACGAGTATCCTCCAAGGAGACCTTAATGTAACCACTCACTCACCACCCACTTTTTGACTTTATTGTTTATCTCACCTGCTCATCATGATAACGCCTTCTCACCCATCCTCCCTGTCAATGCGTGTGTTTTAGGTCAAGAACCTTGCTTACCAAAAGGTAACCGTATAAAAGCCAATGTTTCAACGAGTTGCATCACATTACATATTTCATACTCCAACTTATTCAACCTTTTCTCAGTCCGTCACAGTCTACTACAAATCCATCACCACCGGCTGGTCCACCGCCAACAACGTCACCGCCTCCTATTCCAACGCAAGCCCCAACACTCCTACGAAATATGGACGTTTAAAGCCCCCATCCCAAGAGGTGCATCCGATGCTCTCGAATTCTACGTCAAAGGTGTCATTGGTGGAACCAACTACTATGGTATTTACAACCATCTCATGTCATCACCCCTCGACTAACTCACCATTCGGAACCCTTTCCTAAAGCTAATAACAATAACGCCAATTTTCCTCTTCAACGTACCGCATCGACTCCTGCGGCTCCCGAGATTAAACCTGGAAAATACTTTGATCGAATCATGATTGTGTATTTGGAAATACGAATTATGTGACCGCCATGGCGAACCCGTTTTTGGGGACGACCTTGGCGTCTCGGGGGATCATTACTGCGAATTATCATGGCTTGGCCCACCCTAGTCAGCCTAATTGTATGTTCATTACCTTTTTTTTTGATTTACTTTTTTCTCATTACTTTGTGTATTTCTTTTATATACTTTTTTATACTGTGATCTCATTCCTTTTGAATTTGATAGATATTGGCGCTATCGCGGGAGAGTTGTGCGGCGTCAACAGTAATGTCAACTATGAGCTTCCTCAATGGACTGTCGTTGACGCGTTCCGTGAAGCTGGTATTTCGTGGAAAGCTTACATGGAGGGAAACCCTTCCCCCTGCTTTACGGGGGTCAGTGATAGTCTTTAGTGAGTTTTTCTATTTTTTCTTTTTTAAAAAATGGGCTTGACCTTATCCCTTTTTTTTTTCTTCTTATTTACATTTTATTTTTTATTCCCTTTATTTATAAATTACCTTTTCTTTGAAGCTGGAGAAAACACAACCCATTCATCAGTTTCCCGTCCATCCGAGCCACATCATGCAACAACATTGTCTCCAGTCTCCAACTCTCCATCGACGAAGCCACCGGAAACATCCCCTCCTTCATGTGGCTCACCCCCGACCAAAACAACGGTTCGTCCCCCCCACCTCCTCCTCCCACTAACCCCCCCCCACAGACGGCCACGACACCGGCATCACCTACTCCTCCACCTACCTCTCCCGTTTCCTCCCCCCCGTCTCACCCATCCCATCCACAATCGCACCCTCTTCCTCATCACCTACGATGAATCCGAAAACACCATTCAGGGAGCCGAGAATAACCTTGTTTATGGGTTTCTTACGGGACAGGGCGTCCCGACGTCTCAGTGGGGGACCAGGGATTTTACGCGGTATTCGCATTACTCGATCTTGAAAACGGTGTTGGAGAATTGGGGGTTGGTGGGACCTGGGAAGGGGGAGGTGGGGGCGGCGGTGTTGCCGGTGCGATTGAAAGATACGACAACCACCTCCTCCACTGCTGTCATCACCTCCTCCACCGCTGTCCTCACCTCCTCCACTGCTCTCATTACCTCCACTGCTGCCATCACCACGACCGCCGTCGTCACCTCCACCACCACCACCGTACCACCCCCCCATCATAACCACCATCACCCCTCCCCCCTCCGGCATCGTCGGAGTCGTCTCCTACTCTTACTCTGGCACCTCCCTCACAGGCGTCATCCAGGTACATTCCTCCCCCCTCCTCTTCCCACACTAACCACCTCACCCACCCCCCCAAAACCAGCTTCAAAACCTCGCCTACGCCAAACTCGTCACGGTGTATTACCAAACGTTGGAAGGAACCTGGAACTCGGGGAACGCGATTCCGGCGACTTTTTCGGGGAAGGTGGTTGGGACGAGTTTTGAATTGTGGTGGGTGTCCATTCCCATCTACCTTTTTTTTTTTTGTTTTTTTAACGATTTTTTTGTGTTTTTTTTATGATGGTTTTTTGTTGATGTGTTTTTTTTTAGGGCTTTTTCGGGTGGTATTTTGAAATTGAGGGCGTTTTATGTCAAGTATACGGTGGGGGGACGGGATTATTATGATAGTCGTGGGGGGGTGAATTATCTTATTTGATGTGTGTGTCATACCTTTTTTTTTTTGCGCCATTGTTTTTGAGTAAAAGGCGTTCTGGTTTGTGTGTACAAGTTCTCTCTCCCTCTTTTTTTTGCGTGCTCTTTTGACGTGGTTTTGGGGTGTGTACAGGTTCTCCCTTTTTTTTTACTGGTTTTTTGTGTGTGTGTGTATATTTTGATTTTGGGTCTCCCGTTTTTTTTTTGGACGCCCTTTCGCCGTATATGTTTTGGTTATCTTTTTCTTGTATACCGGGTCTTGCGTGTTTTTGGATGTGGTTTTTTGACGGTTTTTTGGGTGTTTTTTTGTGTATGCCGGTTCGTTGTACTGGTTTGATGTCTGTTTTGGTGTTTTTTTCGTGTTTTTTTTGTGTGTAGGTCTTCCGGTTTATTTTGGGAAGCTCTTTTTGACGTGTATGTTTGGTTGTATCCACGGTTCACCCGTTTTTTTCTTTGGAATGTACTTTACACTACTTTCGTGTACTGTTTTTTTCGTGTACACCAACTTCCCCCCTTTATTGAAAGCCTTTCGCCGTATATTTTTTGTGTGTACACCCATTCCCCCCTTTTTTTACACATTTAAGATACACAGGTACACCAGTTCACCCCTTTTGTTTTGTACGTCTACTTTCACCGCTTTTGCCCCGTAGATGTTTGGTTATTGGTTGCATGTACACCAGTTCTCCTGCTTTATACATGTTATCTTGTGTGTTCGTTGACACTGGGTCTCCCTGTGTTTTTTTTTTTGGAGAATATACTTTGCAAATGAGGTGTTTTTCTTTCGTGTATACCATTTCACCCCTTTTGTTGAACGTCTACTTCCTGGCTGGTTATTGTTTGCATGTACACGAGTTATACATGCTGTGTTTTTTCGTGTACACCCTGTTCTTATATCTATGTAAAGAATTTTCTTTTTTTTGCAAACGAGGTTTCATCGTGTGTGAGTGAGTTGGTTGGTGTATCATGCATGGTTAGGAAAGAGGGTTTGTTTTTTAAAAAGTCGATTATGTGAGTGAATTCTATACGTACTATCTGGGGGTGATGATGAGGCAGAGCTGGGAGGATTGAATGTGAGGAAGAGAAAAGAAAAAAGGAAGACGGCCTAGGACGGAGTGAATCCAATACGTATTATCTGGCGGATAAAGAAAGAAACGGACTTGAAAGGAGGCAAAAAACCCCAAAAAAATACCCGAGTTGGGGATTGAACCCAAGACCTCTTCCTGAAACTACTGTATTCTAAAGAACGCAACGTAGGAGGGAAATATTCTGCCGCTGAACTACACGGGCTTTCCGAAACGGGGAATTGAACCCCGGCCACCGCTGTGAGAGAGCGGGATCATAACCACTAGACTATTTCGGATAGAAATGGAGAAAGCGGGGTTTGAACCCGCGGCCTTTCGTATGCAAAACGAATGTGATACCACTACACCATTTCCCCTTTTTTTTTTTTCGTCATGTTGCTGCTAGATATACCAATAGATTTGAAAATTACTTTAAATTAGCGTTAGACCACGTAGCCTCCAACCTTTACCCTTTTCTCCTGGTTCTACTCCCTTCATTCTTTCTCTGTTGGTCTTTTTTGCCTGAGCTCTTAACGGGACACCGTCGTTCTGCTATTTGTTGGTTTTCTTCGTGCGGGAAGTCCTCTGGGAAATATTGTATTCCGAGTTTCTCCAATAATCGTCTATATACAAACAAAAACGAACACATTCCCCTTATCGGGTTGTATGTTTGCGACTTTCACGCGCTTAACATAGCTATTTATTGGGGGTTGATTGAAAGTTTTTATTATTAAGAAGGGGTTCCCTCATTCCTTTCTAACTCACGAGTGAAAATTATAAAAGCTAGATTCTTTCATTATCCTACTCCACGCTGCAAAAGGTATATAGTACCCTGCGTATACGACAAGCATGATAGAATTTGAAGGCAGAGCTTTGCAACGAAATCTTGGAAACATGATTCTTTCTTTTTTTTCAATGACGACGCGTTTATGTATAATGGGTGTTTAGAGGAATAATCATTAATGACACAAATTGAAATGATCGTATATAGCAAATTAAAACAAATATAGTATCCTGCAAACGTATCGTATCTTTGCAATTGGTACATAAATAATATGCGGGTCAATGAAAAAAAAAGCTGTGAAAAATATGTGAGAACCTAATCTTTGTATCCAGTGAAAACTGCGACGATGTTTTCTGATGATGCATACATGACGGATAGGAGCAATAGGTTGAGTACGCTCATATCGTTGAAAATATAGGGAATTACACGTGCTTTTCGAATTAGCGTTTATTCCCCCATGCACCCTTTTCAGTTCGACCGTGATAGTTAAACCGTGCATCAATAAAGCTTGGAAAACAGAATGAAAGTTTATTTGTCGATTACGCGTTTTGCGTCTTGTATGTAGATATTTATTCAAAGAGTGTAGAGTGTACATTGAAGATGCCACGGAATAATGTGCAGATACGGCATCTACAACCACATCACACTAACGTTCTCAACCCTTAATTTATTGACGCATACTTGATGGAGGCCAAAAGCCTAAAGCTCTGATTAGTCTATAGATAAGGACATCATTTCGACATCTCTTCCCTGAGTATTAATACGCGACATGTAGTGCTTTTGATGTCACGACTACAACGTCGTATTGCTTAAAATGGTTAAAGAAATGCAAATGTGAAGATCCAACAACAAGAATTACTTTACAGATATCGCGTAACATTAAATAGTATGAAACCCGCTTCTGTTCGGAGCGCGAACTATAACTAGCGCTTCAACGAAATCGTTAATGGAAGAACTTCCATTGTGAAAGCTACCTTTATATACTTAAACTTTGCCATCACGACATCACAAAAATTATAAATCAGGTCATCGCATTCGTGGCGGAACGATAGGCATTAATGCGATTATAGAGGAAATTGGATCTTCAGATTTTGGAGTGCCGAGTAATGAAAATATACTTTGAAAACGCGTCCCAACCTCCACCACTACACTCTTTTTAAAAAATAAAATAAAAATAGACCACGTAACTGATGTCCCTCATAAAACTCAAACTGTTCAATATATATTTCCTTAGCGCACATCAGCAGCATACAAACAACCTTAAGTGAATCCTTTTCATTCGCATCCACTTAATAAAAGCATAGTACTATTATACTTTGAAATAGTCTTGAAATGACAAATTAAGTTAACTCGCCAAGGGCTCATGCTCTCCATCTTCGTGTGAGTTCCTGTATAGCGTAGAGGAACGAAGGTAGTTGACGTTCGTGGAGTTCTAAAGAATTTGAGTAAGGAGTTAGGATTTATGCGAATGTCGGAAAATGATAGAACAAAAGCAAACACCCCGAATGTAGGAGTAAGATAAGGAAAACAGACATAGCATACGGGTAAAGGGTGCTCATAAAATCAAAAATGGTAAAAGAAAACATGAATTCGATTAATCAATAACATCAAAGACTGACCCTATCAATCCCTCGTAACCCCATAATCTCTTCACTCGAAATCGGCTTTACAGGTTCCCAAACTGTACTTGACCTATCCAGATCCCCATTCTGCCCACTCTGCCCATCCCTTCTAGGCATTGACGCAAACAAAACTCCACCATCATTTTGCTGCTGCTCTGCATCCCCACGATAGGTCATAGATCTCCCAACGGCATCCATCGGTGATGCTGGTGTTGTGGTGGCAAGAAGAAAGGGTTCAGTGGCTATAGGCGCAAAGGATTCCAAGCGATTAGGGATGGATGGACGCGAAGACGGTTGCTGATCAGATGGTGATGGTGGCTGTGGTAGTGGTGCGGCGGATGGAGGTGAGGAGGGCTTTTGGGAAGATTGTTTACGGTGCTTGAAAATGAAAAGACCGCCGATGATTAGGAGAATGGCAGCAAAGCCGATGGAGGAGGCTATGATTGCAATGTTGGTTGTTGAAAGAAGAAGGCCTGAGGAGGGTGCGGTTGATGGGGAGGAGGTGGATGTTGGGGTTTGGGAAGCGGGTTCAGAGAGTGTAGGCGCTGGAATGGGCTGTTGAACGTCGGTGGATGGGCCGCCAAGGGTTGAGGGTCCTGGGATGGAAGGAGGTAGAGAAAGAGATGCAGGCTCTGCTTGCAGGGGCCGAATGTTGAAGGGCCCGTTAACACTAGGTTCACATGGAGGCGGCCCACTGCAAGTGCTTGAACAGAAGATATCCGAGGTCGGTGATGCGTTGAGAACCTCAATGTTGGTAAGGCAAGTACACTGTTGGGAAAGGAAAATGTAGTGGGTGAACTGGGCTATCTGGATGCATTCTTGAGATAGACAGCGAGTACGGCAGGCAGGAGAGGATGTGATGGCGGGTTGCTGTCGACATAGGTCTGGCTGTGATGGGAGACGGAGGAGGTCGCGGGAGCGTGTGCAAATGTCAGAGATGGTTGTTGCCATTTATCTTTTTTTTTTTTTGTTGTTTTTTTGATGTTTTTGAGATCCTTTCCCCCACTCTACCTAGCTTCCAGGATAACTTTTCTTCAAAATCTTTGAAGTGGACACATAAGGCTGAATCTAGTTTGACACTCTATCAGCGTTCAGTAGAATGGTCAAGGGAGAACGCGCCGTAGAGAAACGAAAGATTCAGGTCAGATGGAGGTTTAACGATGGAATTGATGAGGTATATGGGAAATATATTGAATGAATAAAACAATAATTTAAGAAAAGAGATTTCGAACAACCGCATGGCAGTCTTATAATATCCCATGATGATATTTATGAATACCCTACAGCCTGTCGTAGTACAGCTTCCAGCGTCGAATAAATAACTTGAAATCCTTTTCGCTCTCTTCCAGTAAAGAACTTGCGGAAAAAAAAACTTCGTAAAACGTTTTCATACTATTATTCGTCCGTCCTCTCGCAAACAGACCTCTCGCAAACAGAAGCACTTGAACATTCAACTCAAATGCTATACATCATCATTACAGGAGAACCAGTAAAAAACCTTACCATCACTCAACAGGTTTGAAAAGTTGTCTCGGAAACCGTGAATCCTTGAATGTCGTAGCTTTCATCATCGACGGAACATCGGGAAATGGAAAAGCTACCGGTGGAATGCTATCGTTGAAGAAAAACTCTGTTCTCGGCCTCGACATTTCCGGTCCTGGCATGAGGACAAATCTTCGCTTCGCAATAGGTCTGTCCTTAGCATCCATGTGAGTTTCGCCATCTTGCTCGGTCAAATCGTCACTCTTTCTTTTCAAACTCGTAACTTGATCAAGCCTCGGCGTGGAATTGTGCACATGAAGAACGTAGATTTGCGGAGGCTCTTTAGGGTCACGGTAAACGGTATGAGGCATGCCCTCAAAAGATGTCTCTTGCGTAATGTGAGGCTCGTCTCTAATATAAGGAGCGGCGAAAACATGCTCGGATGATGGAGCCACAATTGGCATCAACCTTGGATCCAACGCCAAATTCGGGATTTGCTTCGAAATAGTCGCAGATTCCTTGGACGATGTTTGCTTCAACCCTTCCCTAGACTTACGACTCTGACGTGATCGAGGCTTTCTGATAGTTTTCGGCTTAGGTTCTGGTTTCTTCACAGCATGGTTCGGAGGGGTACGGAGAGGTACTTCTTCAACGGTCGGAGTGGAAGGAGCCAGCCAGTTCAAATCGACTTCCCCCAAGAAACTTCGCGCCGCTTCCATCATTTCCGATCCCTTAATCTCAAATCCGCCCAACGTGAATCTCGGGTTCACGGTTTCCGCTGATTTGACCCGCGCGGTTTCAAGAGCAATCCATACAGAAACAAGCTTGGCGTCGGTTGGAATACGCATGTCATCGATCATCAAAGCTGGTGCTTGCCCATCCGAGGTTGGAAGGAGGCAGAGAAAGAGGTCTCGGTAGTTTAGAGGCTGCGACGTGGCAACAGACATGTCTTGAGATTGTCAGCTTGTTGGATGTACCGTTGATGTGGTAAAATGAACTTTAGTTGATGCAAACCTTTTTAGATACGAATACGAGTTCGGCTATGGTTAGGTTGAAGGCAAAAGGCGTTCTCGTTCGGCTATCGCTAGTTTGACGGCGAAAGGAGTTATCGTTCTGAGAAGGCAGGGTGTCGACAGAGTTCTTGTGAAGATGAGGTCGATTCAAGAATTTATGTTAAAGATTGACACGCTACATTTTTTTGGGAGTTCATTGTGTGGATCATCCGTCGGACAGTGATGTCTTGAAATGTAGAAGTATTTTTTTTATTCAAAGAATTGCTTTGAAAACAATAAAAATACGACGAAAGCGGGTCCACCACGATATTGCGACACATGGAAG